TTATCAGGACTTGTGTTCCTCTTCACTTGCTTTGAACATAAACGTCCTGACTCGGAACAGGAGCTTACTCAAGCCAGTTCAATAATTGTGAAGTAGACAATTACACAGGAAGGTATACGAACCCTCTATTTTTCTATCTTTACAGAGATTTCCGGAACTTCGGAATACAGAGACCAACCACTTGTGGTCTGAACGTAGAAATAAAACTACTAACAAAACCCTAACTAAAATTTTTATTAAGGACAAGTGCCTACTTTAAGATTTTCCGTTATTTAACAAAACCGTATGTATACAGAGAGCCTGCTAAAACTACGATACGTTGAAATTATCAAGAGACTAAAAAACCTCTGGCCTTGAAGGCAACCAGCAACCGAGTAAAACTACTATGGCAAGCGGCTTGCTTCCGATCACTCCTTCCTCTCTTATGCTGGCAAAAGCCACAACTTAAGTACTTGGCTTAGCAGATAAATTTGCATAAATATTAAGCTTTTAATTTGGCCGGAAGTAGAAAATAAGAAGTGATATAAAGATTAAAATAAAATAACGTTGTAAAACTTAGGATCCTTACATACTTCCCGCCAGAGTTAATTAGTTTGAAACTGAGGTCTAAACGACCTTGTTGAAAACTTTTAGCTCTAGAATCTAACTCAGGCCAATCTTTACAAACATTCTCCCTAGAAATTATCTAATCTAGAAATTAAAAAGTCGTTTTTACATTATCAACTCCATGGACAAATAATTTTTATCTGTACTGCACCTATAAACAGGAGTTTCTTAGTTGAATCTGGTACACAATCAAATGGCAAGTAACATGAATACTTATATTTCTCTTTTAAAATTCTTATTTCATTCATGACGTTATTTAATTATCTCCCTGTGCTCTCTGACATGTGTTGTAAAGAAAAACACCAAACACGTGCGTGTCTATGTACAAGTGTTCAACACTACCGCCTGCCATCAAAACACTAACGTGTTAAAATTCAACATAACAAGACCTCAGAACACACCTTATATTCATCTCTAAACCCTGAGGTACTATTCTGAAAAGTGGCTAACTCTGAAGTGTAGCGTCAGAGAGCCTAACTACATTCATTCAACCTTTAACACATATTCACAATAATTTGCTCTTTTTACAGTCACACCAATAAAAAAAATTTTTTTTGGCATTACTCTAATATTTTCACTTTTAACATATCACAGTATTTCTTAACTTTAAATATAACAGTTCACATTATATATAAGGACATATTAACATGCCGTTAATTTTACGCATTTTAAAACATACATTAGTAGTACATTGTTTGTTAACTTCTATTCTTTTCCAAGCAAGTGCCAATTTTTCTATATTGAAATACTACATTTCAAAAGTCTTTCAGACTAAAATTTCTTTCTTGCCAGAATCTTTTAAATAAAATTTTATACAATAATTTTTACAATTTTCTTAAGGTACCTTTCTCAAAGATTATCAATGCTTTTACAATATTGAAGTATTTACACATTCCTATTATACAATTAATTTTAGTTTTACTCGCGAGTAATTGAAAAACATATACCAAAATAGGTAACAACTCCTTTCTCGCCTTTTGGCGATAAAGGTAGGCCTCACATGAGGTAAAAACTTCTTGAATTCTGCCACTTGCAGTAAGAATGAAAAATTAACTTAAGTTTCAAAGTAACATAAAGTTTTACTTATCTTTGTGATATTCAGACATCCTTTTTCTGCCCAGTCCTGGAAAGTAGCGAAGACTACGGTCTGGTTTATCTTCCTTCTTGTGCGGGATTCGCCCTTCGGTTTCTTCCTCCATGCTTTCATTTTCTTCCAGTTCGGTCACCCTTGAAGACCTTTTTAGCATCTGCTTGTGGTCTCGGCCGTTTGATGGCAGCTGGTCTTGGGCGGAACCGGGACAACTCTCTCTCGTTGTTGCCTGGATCTCGTTGCTGGCTGTTCAAACTTTTGTTGCTTCTTCTTTGCATCTGCAGCTGGTTTTCCTTCATCAATTCGTCGACATTTGCTGCGTAGACTCCTATCCGATGAGTAGATCTTTCGTTTCGGAGCCGTGTTATAATTGCTGCCATTTCTCCTGGCTCTCTTTGCATTAGTCGAACTTCTTCCCTTCTTCATTCTGGGGGTGGTCGTGCCCTCTCTTTTCTGGTCGGTGGGAACGGCTTCTTTTTCTTGTTACCCTTCAGTTTTCCCAACGGGGAACTTTCTTTTCATATTGCTCCTTTCTACTCATGGCTTGCCCTTGTGATTGTCGTTGTTCCACCTCTGGAGATTGTGCCTGCCGTGCCGGATCCTGCAAAAGATCTTGAAATATTGGCATTTTATTACGATTATAAAACGGTTTTATCCGGTCAACGTTTGCGGTGCAGGTTTCACCATTCCTGGCTTTTAACACCTCTATAGCCTGAGTTACTTTTTCTATGACATATGGTCCTTCAAATCGTGGACAGAATTTGGCAGTTTTATCTTCTGGTGCTGAAGAAAGTGAATGCTTAATTTTTAACACTTCCTCCCCTACGTTATAAGTTACTCCCCGTCGTTTCATATCATAATATAGCTTCTGTTTTCTTTGTGCTACTTCAGTGTTCTTTTTTGCTTCTTTAATTCATTTTTCTATATCGCCCATTTTTAAATTCTGGGGCTCTTTTTTGAACATAAAATAATTTATCTAACGGCGTTATAGTCTTTCTGCCTATACATTTGAACCAATTAAGCACTTGGCCCCTGAAAGCGCTGGTAGCTAAGGTGACTTTCTGGAATTCATGAACTGGATACAGCATGAAGTGGTCATCCAATTTTTCCAAAAAATGGGTCACCGGTGAGTTTTCGTCATTAAGCTTGCTGCTGGTTTCATCGATGCGCGCATTGTCTGGACAATGTAACCAAATCCTTCCAGGGTGACAGCTGGCATTTCTTGGATTCTGAGCCGCTGCTGCAGGCACACGTCACCTTCTTCTTCAAACTCAGGCCATGGTTATTCTTCTTCGTTCGGGCGCCATTGTCAGGACTTGTGTTTCTCTTGACTTTGCTTTGGAAATATGATATGTCCTGACTTAGGAACAGGGAGCTTACTCAAGCTATGTTCATAAATTGTGAAGTAGACAATACACACAGGAAGGGTATACGAAACCCTTTGTTTTTCTATCTTTACAGAGATTTCCGGAACTTCGGAATACAGAGACCAACCACTTGTGGTTTGAACGTAAGAATATAAAACTACTAACTAAAACCTTAACTAAAACTAACTTTGGATTAATATACAAGTGCCTAGCTTTAATATTGGCCGTTATTTAACAAAATCCGTATGTAGTACAGAGAGCTGCTAAAACTACGATACGATTGAAATTATTAAGAGGACTAAATCTCTGGCCTTGAAGGCAACCAGCAACCGAGTAAAACTACTATGGCAAGCGGCTTGCTTCCGATCACTCCTTCCTCTCTCTTGCTTGGCAAAAAGCCACAACTTAAGTACTTGGCGTTAACAAGACAAATTTGCATAAATAAGTTAAAGCTTTTAATTAGGGCCAGAAGTAGAAAATAAGAAGTGATAGTAAAGATTTAAAACAAAATAAACGTTAGTAAAACTTAGGATCCTTACAGGTTTATTTTCAGAATAAAGTTTAAATGGAAATGTTTTAAATGGAACATGAATAAGCACAGAGATTTCTCATTTTTACTTATAGTATCATCGTTTGCCTCCTCTCGCGTTTTTAAAGCAACATATGTGTACAGTATAAAATGAAAATTTTAATTTGTTATTTTAAATTCACCAGAAGTTAAGATTTGATAAAGAAATGAATAATTCTGTGTAAGGTACAAATATTTCCGGAATGAAAAATTCCATTCCGTCCACCATTCTTCTATTCATTCAGACTACAGTTGAAGACATATCAAAGCTAAGTTCACTTTCTAGTTCTTAAACTGCCTGTCAGAAGTTAAGCACGAAAGCGGAAAATAAATGCCTTTTGAAATAATATTACAGATATCAACCATGATTTTTCCATAATAATAAGGTTTTGTATTACTTATGACCTGTATGCAGCATTTAAGAAAGGTGAAAGCAGGCGTATTTTCTTAAATGACAGGTTTTAGACATGTAAGACATGTACCTACAGAAAGTCTGGTTTCAGTGTTTCTCAATTTGAGGTGCAGAATTTTCTGAAAACAATCTGAATACGGCACAAAACAGTGTGTAAACAAGGAAAAAGCCTTTTCGTATGATCAGTATATATCAATATTTCAGCTCACTAAAATGCCCATGTATTAAATAGCTGTCTCTTCTGTTATAATGACGTTTTCCCCATGTGTAAGATGTATACGAGTCAGTTTTGCTTAGAAAGTCCTCCACGAAGGCAACCCTCCCCTTAGGCAGATAGCCCTAGTGTGCTTTGCCATAATTAAATAAACTAAACCAAACCAACCTTCTGCTATAATTCTAACTGTTTTCTGAAAACGATCTTCACTTTTCATAAGTTTAAAAGATTTATTTCTTTAGTCAGATTATTTAATGTCATGCTTCTTTTTTTTATAGCCTGCTGACCCCTGAAGTCAATATTGAGTATGCTTAATTATTTATTACATTTCAGCGGAAAACGTGTTAGAATCAGGCCATTGTAACACTATTTCCCAGCTACCAAAAAAAAAAAAAAAAAAAAAAAAGGGGGGGGCGGAACTTTGCACTCTCACAGTTAAAATTAGTTATACAACAGATTCTGACCGATTCTGGAGGTGTACTTTTAGTTTCAGTGTTTCTCAAGCTGAGACGCCAAATTTTATTAAAATAATTTCAATAGGACATAAAACGTTGTGAAAACAAGAAAAAGTTATATATTCCTTATATAGTAAAATTTCCAATCAATTAGTTATTCATTCTCTATATAATTATGATCTTTCGCTAAACTTCTAATTCTCTAATTCTTAATAACTTTTCTTTTAAGAAGTTAAGAATTTTTTTTCAGTCAAATTATTTACGTAATATGTTTTTTTCTTTCTGTAGGCGAAGACAGCAGTTTCAAGAGAAGGATGCTGAGTGAGTATGCTTTGTTATTTTTGAAATTTCATCAGATTTGGGGAAATCGCGGCATTTAAGTTATTTGCCACTTTACAGCAAATGAAACTTTGATGCCTCCCAGTAAAAATTAAATAATTCTTTAAAAAAATCATATATTTTGAAGGAAGTAATTTACTTTAATAATAATAATAATACACGTATAGCGTGTCCTATTCATATAACATCATTTTAGGTATACTGTCATTCTTATAATTTTGTTATTAGTCATTTTCTAGTATTTTTCCTAGTCTAATTTCTAGTAATCTTTCTAGTATTTTTTCTTACCAGCCTTATGCATGATTGCATAAGGCTGGGCATTATCCTGATTAGGGAGTATGAGCTGGATGACGATTTAAGTGGATAGTTTGATTTGGGTTTTTATTTGAAATCCCACCCTATTTCCATAACCTAACATAGGTTCAGAAAATAAATGCATGAAATAATAATGAAATAATTTTTATACGACGATGTTATGGAGTACCTTTTTGAAAATAACAAATAACACAGAAATACAATAATATAAATACTGCTATAGTTGATATAAAATGCATTGCGATGATATTCATGTTCTTTTTGGGGGATTTAGTTTTTCTTGAAATAATGAAATAAAATGAATAAGTTGAATAAGTTCAAAAACAAGTTGGCTTTTGTTCGAAAATGAAATTCTTCTGTTGGAAGATGGCAAAAGTACGAACAGCTGCACAAGACGACAAAATAGCAAATAGCTAGTTTATCTTGCAAATATTATAATTATAAAAAAATTACGATGTGCCTCTTCGTTTAGGGTAAAGCTTCGTTTTCTTGTTGAGTAACCACTATTTGAATGTATCGAGCAAGAAATGACTAGAAGTGACTACTGATTAATAATACGTAAAGGGCATAAAGTACTAGTAAAGAGCGCATTTTATCTCTTCTCACTGATGATAAGTCTACCTTAAGTTTATATTATATTGCCTATAATTGCGTCAAAATTCTAAATTCACATTTCCACTTTTTCCATCGAGTGGAAGATTTGTTTTTTGAATAAAATTTAAATGGAAATGTTTTAAAATAAACTTTTTGGTCCCTTTTGGATAACTAATAAATCGTGCAAATAGAGAATCACACTTTTATTTAACATTAAAACAGCAGTTGGGTGCAAAGTTCTGTACCTAGAGAAACAACAGAAAGTTATAAATATATATATTAAAAAGTTAGCATTTGGATTAATATTATACACAACTTTAAGCCAATACATTTGGTGAGAAATGATAGAATTCCTTTTAATTTTTTCATGCCTATATTTCGGATGAGTTTATATAAAGAATCAATAATTTGAAAAAAGAAACTCTTAAGTTAACATGCGTATCTTTATTGCTTAGAAAATAACATGCTTAAAAATCCATTTTTACGCACATTTTTTTTCAATTGAATGTCCATTTTTCGAAAAACAATAAATTTTGTTATGTTAAAAGTATGGTCACTTTTCTGATAAGGAAATCTCTTAACTCAAAATTAACAGAAGCCGAAAAATTCAATTATTATTACATGTTAATTGCATCAAACTTTATTTTTTTTCAGCCCAGGATTTAGTTAAAACTCCTTTTTGCATCTGAACACTGAAAAATAGCTGATATTATATTTCCATAAGATTCGTCACAAAGCACATTAATGATATATGTCTAGGTATTACTAGTAAGATATGGAACATAAATGAGCGCAGAAATTTCTCATTTTTACTTTTTAAGTTCATCTTTTGCTGCCTCTCGCGTATTTAAAGCAACACATATGTGCAGTATAAAATTGAAATTTTAATCTGTTATTTTATAATCAGCAGAAGTTAACATTTGATAAAGTCTGTATAAGAAGACTGCAGTTGAAGGCATATTCAAGCAAAGATTAAGTTCACTTTCTAATCTGCGTGTCAGAAGTTAAGTTACAGATATCAACTATGTTTTTTTCCGTAATAATAAGCTTTCGTATTCTTTATAACCAACATCAGTGGCGTAGCTAGGGTGGGGCAAGAAGTTACATCTGTTCCGAGGCGCAGCATTCAGGGGGCGCTAAATTGATGTTATGAAATTTCAGAATGAAATGTTTTCCATTCTTGGCACATAGAAAGGGTTGCAAAATCTTCCTTTGTCCCCGGGCGCTGAAAACCTACATACAGCTACGCCTCTGACCTACATACAGCTTTTAAGAAAGGTGACAGCAGGTGTATTTTTTAAATGACTGGCTCTAGACATATAAGACACTTGTATTCTGAAAGTCCAGTTTGAATGTTTCTCAAGTTGAGCTGCAGGAATTTCCGAGGACAGTTTCAATACGGCACAAAACAATGTGTAAGCAAGGAAAAAATGTTTTCGTATGATCCTTATATATCAAAATTACAACTCAGTTAAATATCCATTGCATTATATAATTGTTGCCTTCTCCTACATTTCTAATTGTTTCCTATTCACGACTTTCTTTTAATAGGATCAGAATATTTTTTTTCCTTAGTCAGATTATTTAATGTAATACTTTTTGTCTTTTTTATAGGCCGGGCACCAGCCAGGAGCAGGCTCAGTGTGTATGATTGTTTATTTTTAACATTTCAGTGTTAACTTGTTAGAATCGGGCCATTGTAACACTATTTCCCACCTACAAAAAAAAAAAAAAAAAAAAAAAAAAAAAAAAAAAAAAAAAAAAAACTGTACTTTAATGTTATATTTGTGTTATAGTCATTCATTGTCCTTGTTAGATTTGCATGACTGCGTATAGCTGATCATTATTCTGATTAGGGTGGCGTGGGTATTTAAGCTGGACTTTGTTCTGGTTGCTTGGTGTTAGCTGTTCCCATATCAAAATATAGGGGAAAACCTCTTATATGATTAAGAGATACTGAAACAGTAAATTTAACGATGAAAATACTTGCAATTAATTCCTTTTTGAAACTCTTTGTGTTTGTCATATTTTCGTGCCAGTGGTAGGTTTCAACATCAAACTCTTCCTTGGACGGAATGGCAATAGGGATTTTCATAGCGAGAAAAGTAAAAATATAAAGTGAATACCCATCTATAAACGCCATAAGTTGGTTACAAGTAATAACTAATGTTATAAGCATGAGGACAAAAGCCTAATTCAGTTTAGTACACGTTCCTAGCGTAGATATTCATATATTCATTTCACATTTGTAGGACCTAAATGGTAATCCGAAATTTTAACGAATTTCAATCATGTGCATATGCACACACAAACACACACATATATATATATTCTTAAAGCATCAAAAGTCAAATTAAATTGGAATCTAAACAAGGCAATTGCCCAACAATATTAATAATTGCAACCGTGGATAAGAGGTCATATATTGTATCTATAGAAATCAAAATTAATATAGGAATTCATCATTGGAATAAACTATTAACGCGAAGATTGGTGTTTTAACACTCCGTATGTAGTGAGCTAGATGCAAATACTACAATACGCCTATTATATCAGCAGGAATTAAGTTCTGTCTTAAAGGCAGACACGAACTGACTGAAACGCACGCGCGTAGCAGGGCAGCTGGAAGACTCTTCTCTTTCTTGGCTTTGCCTTTTCGCAAATACATTTTACAGTTTGCAACTTATTAGCATATAAATCCTACTCGCGCTTATTCTGCCCGGAAATGGAAAATAAGAGAGGATAGTAAAGTTTAAAATAAAATAAAAGTTAGTAAAACTTAAAATCCTGATAGGTCTACCTTAAGTTTATAATATCTTGCTTATAAGTGCGCCAGAATTCTAAATTCATATTACTACTTTTCCATTGAGTGAAAGGTTTAATTTCAGAATAAAGTTTAAATGGAAATGTTTTAAAAGAAACATTTTGATCCGTTTTGGATAAAAATAAATCGTGTAAATAGAGAATCAAATTTTTATTTAACATTAAAATAACAGTTGCGTGCAAACGTCTGTACCTAAAGAAACCTAATAGCACATCTTTTGGAGAAATTTAAATAAAATTTGTATTTTGTAATGTATTATGAAAGCTAATAAACTTAACAGATAATTATAAATATATATATATATATTAAAAAGTTAGCATTTTGTTAATAAAAATAATTTTAACTCAATACATTTAATGACAAATGATAGAATTCTTTTTAATTTGTTCACGCTTGTACTAAGGCTAAGTTTGGGTAAAGAATCAAAATTATTTTTTAAAAAATTAAACTATAAATTAACATGCGTATCTTAACTCCTTAGAAGAAACATCTTTCTTACAAATCCGTTTTGACGCACAAAATATTGTCAATTGACTGCCCATTTTTCGAAAAGAAAAAAAAAATTCTGATATGTTAAAAATGTACCTCACATTAAAAATAGCAGATGCAGAAAAATCAAATTACCATTACTTGTCAGTTGCATAAAAATTAATTTTTTTACAAGTCAAGATTTAGTTAAGCCTCCATTTTGCATCTGAACATTGAAAAATATCTGATATTATATTTCGATAATGACTAGTCACAAAGTACATTAGTGATATCTTAAGTATTACTAATAAGAAATGGAACATAAATAAGCGCAGAAATTTATCATTTTTACTTATAATATCATCGTTTACCGCCTCTCGCGTATTTAAAGCAACATATGTTTACAGTATAAAATGAAAATTTTAATTTGTTATTTTAAATTCAACAGAAGTTAAGATTTGATAAAGAAATGAATAATTCTGTATAAGGTAAAAATATTTCCGGAATGAAAAATTCCATTCCGTCCACCATTCTTCTATTCATTCAGACTACAGTTGAAGACATATCAAAGCTAAGTTCACTTTCTAGTTCTTAAACTGCCTGTCAGAAGTTAAGCACGAAAGCGGAAAATAAATGCCTCTTGAAATAAAATTACAGATATCAACCATGATTTTTCCATAATAATAAGGTTTTGTATTACTTATGACCTGCATGCAGCATTTAAGAAAGGTGAAAGCAGGCGTATTTTCTTAAATGAAAGGTTTTAGACATGTAAGACAGGTACCTACAGAAAGTCTGGTTCCAGTGGTTTCTCAATGAGGCGCGAATTTTCAAAACAATCTGAAACGGCACAAAACATGTGTAAGCAGGAAAAAGGCTTTCGTATGATCAGTATTCAAATTTCAGCTCACTAAAATACCCATGTATTAAATAGTTACCTCTTCTGCTATATGAGGTTTTCCCCATGAGTAGTGTTAGATCTTCCGCTTAGAAGTCTCCACGAAAGGCAACCCCCCGTACAGAGAGCCTAGTGCTTTTGCCATAATTAAATAAACTAAACAAACCAACTTCTGCTATAATTCTAACTGTTTTCTGAAAACGATCTTCACTTTCATAGTTAAAATTTATGCTTTAGTCAGATTATTTTAATTCATGCTTCTTTTTTTTATAGCTGCTGACCCCCTGAAGTCAATTGTATTTGATTCTTTATTACATTTCAGCGGAAAACGTGTTAGAATCAGGCCATTGTAACAATTTCCCAGCTACCAAAAAAAAAAAAAAAAAAGGGGGGGGGCGGAACTTTGCACTCTCACAGTTAAATTAGTTATACAACAGATTCTGAACGATTCTGGAGGTGTACTTTTAGTTTCAGTGGTTCTCAAGTGAGAACGCAAATTTTATTAAAATAATTTCAATAGGACATAAAACGTTGTGAAAACAAGAAAAAGTTATATATTCCTTATATAGTAAAATTTCCAATCAATTAGTTATTCATTCTCTATATAATTATGATCTTTCGCTAAACTTCTAATTCTCTAATTCTTAATAACTTTTCTTTTAAGAAGTTAAGAATTTTTTTTCAGTCAAATTATTTACGTAATATGTTTTTTTCTTTCTGTAGGCGAAGACAGCAGTTTCAAGAGAAGGATGCTGAGTGAGTATGCCTTGTTATTTTTGAAATTTCATCAGATCTGGGGAAATCGCGGCATTTAAGTTATTTGCCACTTTACAGCAAATGAAACTTTGATGCCTCCCAGTAAAAATTAAATAATACTTTAAAAAAATCATATATTTTGAAGGAAGTAATTTACTTTTTAAAATAATAATAAACGTATAGCCTGTCCTATTCATATAAAACATTTTAGGTACGTATTCTTATAATTTGTTATAGTCATTTTCTAGTATTTTTCCTAGTCTAATTTCTAGTAATCTTTCTAGTATTTTTTCTTACCAGCCTTATGCATGATTGCATAAGGCTGGGCATTATCCTGATTAGGGAGTATGACGATTTAAGCTGGATATTGTTCTGGTTATTTGAACTTCGCTGTTCCCATAACCGTGCCTAGGCATTATTTGTCCTGGTGCATAGTGGTTGATGGTGCTCCTACATACAATAAAGTTAATTGTATTTTTATAAGTTACTATACAGAATCCCACCCTATTTCTTATAATATTTTTAATCATAACCATATGTATTCAGAAAATAAATGCATGAAATAAAAATATAATTTCATATTACTACAGAAAATAAATGCATGAAATAATAATGAAATAATTTTTATACGACGATGTTATGGAGTACCTTTTTGAAAATAACAAATAACCAAAAACAATAATATACTGCTTAGTTGATATAAATGCATTGCGATGATATTATGTTTTTTTGGGGGATTAGTTTTTCTTGAAAATGAAATAAAATGAATAAGTTGAATAAGTTCAAAACAAGTTGGCTTTGTTCAAAATGAAATTCTTCTGTTGGAAGATGGCAAAGTACGACAGCTGCACAGACGACAAAATAGCAAATAGTAGTTATCTTGCAAATTTATAATTATAAAAAAAATTCGATGTGCCTCTTCGTTTAGGGTAAAGCTTCGTTTCTGTTGAGTAACATATGAATGATCGAGCAAGAAATCTAGAAGTGACTACTGATAGAATACGTAAAGGGCATAAAGTACTAGTAAAGAGCGCATTTTATCTTTCTCATGATGATAAGTTCTACCTTAAGTTTTATATATTGACTATAATTGCGTCAAAATTCTAAATTCCATTTCCACTTTTTCCTCGAGTGGGAAGATTTGTTTTTTGAATAAAATTTAATGAAATGTTTTAATAAAAACTTTTTGGTCCCTTTTGGATAACTAATAAATCGTGCAAATAGAGAATCACACTTTTATTTAACATTAAAACAGCAGTTGCGTGCAAAGTTCTGTACCTAGAGAAACAACAGAAAGTTATAAATATATATATTAAAAAGTTAGCATTTGGATTAATATTATACACATATTTTAAGCCAATACATTTAGTGACAAATGATAGAAATCCTTTTAATTTTTTCATACCTATATTTCGGATGAGTTTAGATAAAGAATCAATAATTTGAGAAAAAAAAACTCTAAGTTAACATGCGTATCTTTATTCCTTAGAAAATAACATGCTTTTAAAAATCCATTTTGACGCCCATTTTTTTTTCAATTGAATGTCCATTTTTCGAAAAACAATAAATTCTGTTATGTTAAAAATATACGTTACTTTTCTGATAAGGAAATCTCTTAACTCAAAAATAACAGAAGCCGAAAAATTCAATTATTATTACATGTTAATTGCATCAAACTTTATTTATTTACAGCCCAGGATTTAGTTAAAACTCCTT